TAAGGCTATATTTATTAATAATTTTAACATTAGATTAAAAAATGTACTCTCAAATACAATTTTTTTTCATTTTAAATATATTTTAAAATCTTTACATGCTCTATTGAATATTAATAAAGAACTCATGGAGTCTTTGTTTATTCATTTATTTTAAGAAAAATTTACTAAGTTCCCACAAATCCTAATCTCTTGGGTAGGCACCAGAAATGTAAGACAAGTGAAATGAAGTCTCTGCCTGCATGACATCAGATGGAGGCACAAATAAATCCAGATAGGGCATAGGAGGCAAATAGAAGTGCAGGTTCACTTGAACATGAATGGTTATGGGATATCCAAGTAGAGGAAATATGAGCAAAGACAAAGAGATACGAGAAAGCAGTATGTTATGGAACTGTGAAAGACTTTGCATATTTGATCATATCACTGACCTGCTTAAAAGCTATCAACTAATCTTCATTGCCAGGATGAAGTTTATAACAATAGGTGTAGCACATGAGTGTCACCTTAACTCTCTCCAGCCTTAACTCTTACACTGCCCCATTTATATCCTTCTCTTTAGTTGTACAAAAATTACAGTTCTCATACTTAATGTTCTGTAAATGCATTTTCCTCTGTCTGCAATGCCACATGGTTTTTACATGTAAATACATCTTGTGTCTGAAACTTTGCCCTTGTAACTTATCCCGAAAAGTCTCCTCTCATCTCCCTCATATGTTGGTTTCAAATCTGAAGTCTTTGTTCCTGCAGATTTCTATATGTACTTCCAAAACAATTGAATAGAATCTGTGAACTCTAAATGTAGCTTTTCTAGCACAGATTGGTTTGAAACAAAAAAATAAAACAAAAATCAGTAATTTATCTGTCTGAAATCCACTAGAGAAGGCAATATAAACATCTATAACCTTCATCTTAAAAATAAGATATAAATGTAGAATTACACATACACACCTAGTAGCACATATCAACACATTTAATATTAGACTGCGATACAAATTGTACAATCTTCTAAATGCCAATGACATCATCTTATTACAACTGATTATTATTGTAAATGACACCATTTCCAAAGTTAAAGCATCTTACATCTATTTTTCCAAACTCTTCTTTATTCATTTTTTTTATTATAAAAGCTACAAGTGAAGTTTCATTTATGGTATAAATAATTAAAATTATGATATAGTCTGAGTGAAAAACTTAAAATAATTTGTGGTTTTCTATAAGGTAACATTATGTGTTAGAAATCCAGGATGTTTTATATTCACACACATCAGATAAGTAAAACTTCCTCGATTTACTTCCCAAATTTGTTCTTGTGGGATGTGGTTAGAAAGAACAGTCAGATTTTGAATTCAGAGGCCTTGTCTTTTAGTTTATCTATTGTTGCTAATTAATTTTGTAACCTTGATTCAGTCACGTATTCTTTCTGCTTTTTAAATCCTCCTTTGTAAAATGAGAGATAAATTAGATGGTTTCAAGGCTCTTTTAAAATCATGAGTATCTGAGAAATACATTACCTCCTTTGTTCTACTCTGACCTTCATTACCAAATGAGAAATCATAAAGCTTTATGATTTTCATTTTTATAAATAGAGATTTATCTACATTATACTGGCTATATTACAAAAATAAAATTTGTGTTATATAGATGCTCAGTTTTATGCATTAAGACTAGCTATAAAATGTAAATACAAAACACTCACATAAAATATTATTTATCTGGTGACTGCCTTGTTTTATTATGTACTTAAATGATGCTGTTGAATTACTACTATTTATTACAGTATTAACGCTATCATTTTTTTGTGAATATTATTGGTATTCAATTTTAGGAAAGCTGACTCTGACACTATGCTGACATCAGAGATAAAAAGGAGATAGCATTTTAAAGGGCAATAACCCTCAAGAAGGCTGGTGCTTATTTAAACACATTGTAGGAAAGAGCCAGGATATTGAAGATGAAAAATGTAAAACCTTGAAATATGATATTTCCCAAATAACTCTAAGATTCAAGTCCAAGAGGAAAACAATAATTAGCAATTCTAGCACTTGATATATCATGGAAAGGAGCAGAGGAAGCAGAGGAGTAAGGACAGATCAAAGAGATGGTCATATTGGACAAAGTTGTTCTCTGTCTTCTGTCTTGGGGGCTAGGGTCCTTTTTGTTTGAGAATTTTAAAGTTTTCTTCTCCGTGGCAAATACATAAGAGCCTCATAAAAGTTAAAGGTTTTTATTGTAGTATTGTGAGTGTAAACAGTTGAGCCCACCAAAATGGCAAAATAGAGGGAAGAGAATAAGGAAATATACAAAGTGTATATACACAAAGTTTAGTATAAACTGTATTTCCATAAGCCTCAAGAGATTGTTATTCTTGTAAAGCCTTTGTAAAGTATTCCATACCAGTAAGCTGAAGCTCTATAGAATATCAAAAGCAGAAAGGCCTAGATTTTGGAAAGGAAGCTTTGAATTTGATGGGTATGTTCCAGGTCAAAAAAATGTTAATTAATGAGAGAACTCTTGGCTCCAGAGTTACTGAGGACCTTAGATCAGGACCTTAGATTCCTGTACAAGAATCTCCTGGGATGCTAATTTTAAAAGCAGATGAGTCTACATGTCATACTCTCCAGAGATTCTGGAGCAGTAGTCTTCAAACTCTAGTGTGTACAACTAAAACCTTGGAAGTCTGTAAAAATGTAGATTCTTATAACTCACCCCAAGATTTTGACCCAATATGTTCAAACTCTAATACTACCATACCCTACACTTGGGAGGGATGAGGAGATAGCATCCTCTTTTCAGTATTTAACCTAGAAAAGGATGCAATTAAAATGTCTAAAATATTATAAAGGATATGAATAAGGTAAGTGTAAGATTGTTTATACCAATCATGGAATAGAATAAGAAGCCTTATTTTGAACAATTTATCAATAATAAATGATAAATGTTTTATATACATGTATGTATACATATGTACACACAATATAAAATCTTATTTAATCCTGATGCTAACCTTGGATGTAATTATTATTCTCGTTTTTCATATGAAAATAGTGAAGCTGAAAGAAGTAATTTGCCCAAGTTCACAGAGTAGCAGCATCAGAATTCTAACCCAAGAATATCTGGATACAAACCTTGTACTCAACATCACTCATCTACAGTTATTGCCAATAATGTTATAGGACTTGTCATACCTAGAAAATGTGCTGTCAGAAAAATGGAACATATTTATAAAATATTTTAAAGACCTGATGAATAACAGATGCTACAATAAACCAGCATCTTTAAGGGTAATATCAGGGAGAGTGTTATACATTTTGGGGCCAGATCACCACCTAATAAGTAGGATGTTAGGTCTGCATCAAAATGACAATTTCTTTGTACCCACAACATGGAGGGTAAGAATCTTTGCAATGCATATATTTTATAATTTCCTATTATTTTGCATTCAGATTAATAATTATAAGCCTGTAAAAATATTACATTATCTATTTTAATCTATTTCAAACATTTTACTTTTATAGGCTCAGTTGTTATACACATACACACATACATATATATATATTTTAAGTAAAGAAAAATTTTAAAGAAATTAGAATTTGATTAATTTTATTGGCAAACTTTAATAATAAATACAGTGATAAAATCAGAGAGAAGAATCAATACAGGTATTTTAACTAATTATAGATGTCTATAATATTTTAATTTAAAATGAGATTACTTTGGAATAATATTGTGACAAGTGTAAGCCTGAAATTCCTTACAGTCACTGTATTTCCTTAAAGATGTTCAAAACTCTATAGGTATCTAATTGAGGATACGCTCAGAAACAATTTGAATTCAGGCATATTATAAAGTGATAAGCTATAAAACCAAATTTTAGTGCCAATGATCTACATTTATCTTAAAAGCTTTTTAAAAGGTAGAATGATTTTGTTAGTAATCTCAGAAAAATGTTTTTGGTGACTATGTCTTTTAATTGAAGCACTTAATAAAAAGAGCTTTGGGCTACTTTATAAAAATTCTAGCCCCCACATAGAAATTATAAGAAATGTGTTTTGAATAAAAAATTATGATGTTTGTCAAAAAAAATTTACAGCATCTCAGTGGTAGTCATTTATTTATAACAATGCCATATGTATGTATTTTTTAAAGTAGAAACATGTGTATTTATAAGTTGTTCACTTATAAATTCACAGGTCTCATTAATATATTTTAGCCAATGTTTCTTCTTCACAAACCTTGAACACCTTGCTTCTTCAGCTTTCATTTTGTAGGGAAATTTTAGTGTTCAGCGACAGCAAAAAAGTTAATTATGTCAATGCTAATATTTTCCCTTAGAATAATAAAGTATCTTATCCTTCAAGAAAATTCACTGTCAATGTAAAGGATTAATTAAATCTAATTTCTAACTTCTCATATTATACTTTTTAAAGAAGATTTAAACATGTATTTAGTTTTGTTTGCAACTATTTTATGCAAGGATTACTTATGATCCTGACTCCTGACATACACTTACATCAAGCCATTGATGTCAGCAACAGAACTAATAAAACACAGCTCATAATTTGTTTTTTGTGTTATTTTAATCAATACTCCCTCTGCTGGTTTAATAGGAAGAGAGCCCCAAGGACAGCTCCTATTATCAGATGTTTACAGAATGTTTTTTGCTATTAAAGAAGCATTAAAAAACAAAGTCAGAAGTCAAGGCAAGTTAATTTATTAGCTTTATTTGTATAGCTACTCCTTTTTAATTCACACTATTAATCTAAGTAGGAAAAATAGAAACTGAAGGCAAGCCCTTTCCTATCACTAAGGTAATTTCATAAAAGCTTTATTTTTTTGTGGTGGTTTTTTCCCCATCCTTTTATTCTGTTTTCATTATTTTTTATGAAGGTTGGAAATGCTCTTTCCTGTAAACCTAATAACTGAATAAAGAATTCAGTTTAGCATTAAATGTTATGTAGATCTGTAACCCCTCTTGTTCATTCTTTCTTTCTGTACAGGCACTCCATATGCACCGTGTACATTGAAGTACTTCCACCAAATAATCAAAGCCCTCCTCGCTTCCCACAGCTGATGTATAGTCTTGAAATCAGTGAAGCCATGAGGATTGGTGCTGTTTTATTAAATCTACAGGTATGCTTCTTGAGATATGTGTCTGTGTGTGTATGTGTTTGCGTGTGTGTGTATAAAAATTCTAAAGGTGCAAGCTTGAAGTCATATGAGTTTATTATATTTGTATGTGGAAGGAAAAACCTCACATGCTTGCTTACACTATGGTGAATGAAAATTACATATAGAAGGGAAAGCAAGAGTAATAGGGATGGAAGGTTTCCACGGCTAATCTATTCTATTGATTGCCACAGTTGAAGAACTAGCATTTGGCTGTCAGGGATTAGCTGCCATTGTTATACTAGAGAATGAAGGGATTGGAAATATGTACTTGAATATTTTGTACTTTGCATCCAAATAGTCTGCAGCTGATGATTCTGTCTTGAATGCTTTTGTCCAGCTGGATTTATTTTTGTTACAGTGTTGTATCAGGGAAATGACCTTAGATTCAAAGTGTGATGGTAGTTTTAGGTAATATTTCCATTTTCAGCTAGAGATTCATGGGTATATGAGTTACCTGTAAGATGATAGCTTGGTTTTCAATATTTATATATTTCTGACCAAAATACCTTTGGCCATGGAAAGCTCTACCTTTAACTGAATATGTTGTGCTTCAAATTGTACTAAATATGGTGTTGCCAATTGTCACTTACTCTAATAATCATAAGAACTATAACATGACATATTATTTTACATATCTTCTGGCATTACATGGGAATAGCAGAAGTTGCTGATATGAGAATTCAGGAAGCTGGCCTTGAATGTTGGGAGATATTTTAATGTGACTGACCCAGGAAAATTCCAGCATCAATCTTTACCATCAAATGAAGTGACACAAGGCACAGCTACATTTTAGTCAAATACCATTTAAATATCCATACTCTCTTGCCAATTCTTGATGACATAAAAGTAAAGATTCCATAGAATGTTTGTATTGAAAATGATTTAAATAGAATGAAACATATAAAACTTAATTTTCCAGATGTGCAAATTGAACCAAATAGAAAGTGCCTAGGATCAATTGATTTTCTTCACGTCTAAAACTAGGCTTTTTCCATTATATCATACTAATTACTTGTGGCTGCCAAAATTTGGTTGGCATTACCAGGTTCTTCTCTGTGCCTTAGCTCTAATACTTATTTTGTTGCTTCTCTACAGCTAACTAGAGAGAATTTACTTTAATTCTTCATTTACTACTGAAACATGGGAAACAAAATTATGTAAAAGTAAAGATACCAGTAATAAGTAAATTAGGAAGATGTTAGTGAATAAATTAAAAAGAAAGTAAATATATATATATATGTAAGTTTCTTTAGGGAGAAGAAAAGAGCTGTTGTACTCAAACTGTTGTACTGACAAAGAATGGAAAAACTAAACATTAAGACATATTTATTTAATGAAATAATGAAGATCTTTGTTTTTGCACTCATGGGAATTCATTTATTGAACCAAGAAGAAAAGAAAAGAAAAGTAAAACAAAGTTAAATCTCAGATTTTTAAGATTTAGGTCAAGAAGTTATAGATGTTTCATATTTAAATGTTTCTTAAGAATGTGCCTTTATATAATTTAACTTTCTCTGAGATAAAACATAATTTTACTTGTAAGTTGGTTCAGGTTTCATTTTAATAAATTCCAGAAAGATCTAGGAACCATATGATAGTTGAATAATTCTACCTGTGAGTTAAAGATGAAAAGAAGTTGGCCTTTTTCATATCTTAAATTTCTCTGGCACAAAGGCTGAAAAAATACTTGAAATGACATTTCTATTCACCCTTTGTGCTTATGGTAGAAGCAAAAGAAAGGGTTCCAGTTACAGTGCAGTCTCTGTTAGAAAGAATGAAGGTGACACCAGCGAGGTATTTTTCACAGACCACCAACCACCCACTTTTGTTCATGATCAACTGAGACTGAATTTAAACTAGTGACCTAAAAGTTGAAAAGCTTCCATCAAATTACTCTTCCATAGACTTCTAATAAGAGGATGTATTAGAGCTAGTCTGGCTGCCTGTGGGCCCTCCAGCCCCAGCCTTTTCACACATGTAGCACTACCTACTGGGGACTCACTGCTCAATTTAGAAAGACAGGATTTGTGGGGAAATATATTTCCAACAATAGCAGCTGACTGGCTTTTTCAAAATAATCTGTTTTGACTGAGACCAAAAGAGTTCCTTTTCAGACAACAATCCTTGTTTGTCCCCCTCCCCCTTCCTTTATTAAGTATTTTCCTTTCCTTATATCTGAAGCTTGTTTGAGATTTTCCTCAGTGTATTAATGCTGTTTTGCCTGACTTCCATATTGCTGGTGTTTAGTAGAGGAAAATGTTACCCAAAGGTGTTTGCTTTCTCAAACCTCTTATGCTGATCAGGGTTAGTTTTAGGTGGGATTGTTTTCTCCAGAGTTGGTCAGATCTTGTTCAAAAGCACAATTACATATAATTCTGACCTGCCAGTGAAACCTGGTACAATGGTGTGATGGGAATAGATCACACTGGGATCGTGAGAGCCAATTGTGTGTATCTCTTCCCTACTCTGTGTTCAGTCCTGTCATTTTGTTAGCTTAACATTGGCCACTCTGGGCATATTCATGCCACAGGAATTGGCAAATGCAAGAAATCAGTGGCCTTCACTCTGGAGCTTGTTGTGAAGCATTTACCAGCATGCCACCTGATACAGAGCTAATTTCCTCAAGTATTTAAATCAATAAAATATCTTGATCCCTATGGCTTCTTCCCTTTTTGTCGCTCTGATTTTTTTATCTATTTTCATCACACCAAAGGAAAGGCAAAACTACTAAATAAAGCCATGTGTTGTGTTCAAATACACAGGTGTTTCTCTTTTCCTGACAAGAGTATTATTTCCTTCCAAATTACCCTTCATATAATTCACATTTCCTTTGACACACCCCACCACCATTAGCATAATCCTCCTTTCTTACATGTAAAAGCCCCCATATCATCCTTATCCTCATCCTCATCAAATAATAATAGAGTTGATCCTTGAACAGCACAGGTGTGAACTGTGCAGGTCCACTTATTTGTAGATTTTTCACAGGATGTGAAACCTGCCTAAATGAGGGGCCAACTTTTCATATACATGAGTTCTGCAGGGCAGACTGCCAGACTTGAGAATGTGCAGATTTTTGGTATACCTGGAGGTCCTGGAACCAATCCCCTGGTATATCAAGGGATGACTGTAGTTAACAAGAATTTGACATTAATGTTGAGTCAGGCACTGTCCAAGTTCTTTACTTTAGATTCTTTACTTATTGTATCAGTAAGGATAGCTAGGTTATATTGTGTACACCCACAAAATCTCAGTGATTTGAAACTGATAAAGATTTGTTTCTTATTCACATTGTAGGTCCATTATGGATCAACTCCAGCTCTGTTCTTCATCATTTTCATTCTCCTTCAGAATGTTGGAGAATCTTTTATATAGGAAAATGTTCTAATAACAATCAAACAAACAAACATTCTCTCTATGCCAGCACCAGAGGGAAAACAAAAGGAAGCAAGATAGGAATGTAAGATCATTCCTACCTCACTCAAGTCCCTAGAAACAAAATTAGTTTTAAAATAAAGAGGAAACTAATTTAACAAAATAAAGAGTAAGGTATCATATTAATAAAAATGACTTTTACTAAATAATAGTTATAGACTTAAACTGAGACATCACTGACAAAGTCAGCTACACACCAGAAATAAAGGTGATCAATACAGCACCCTGATAGCAGCCAAAGGAGAATAAAATTAAACAGCTTTTTAAAGGCCTTACAAAACTGAAGGCCTTATTCAAACTGAATATAAGATAATGTAAGAGAATGCAGTCCTAAATTTTTGTACCTATAAAGGAAGCAAAAGGAAGGGAAAGATTTAGGAAATTCCATGAAGGTACAGATCTATAGTGTTTGGCAATTAAAAGAATCAACTCTGACCCTGCCTCAGTCCATTCCTGGACTGCTAATTATACTTTCCTGCATTACATGTTGAGCAGTTATAAAGTATATTACTCTCAGAACCTTGACATTGTTTTTAGCATGGATTATTCAAGATGAAATTCTTAGTTCTTTTCTCATTTCTACAAATCATCAAAATATATAGTTATCAGCAGTGAGCTTTTGCCTGACTGAAAAGAACAAACACTTATGAACAAGTGTTGAATCCAGTGAGCCATTCACTTATTGCTGGTGAGGTCATCCCAAGGGAAAGTTCAGCCACAATTTGAGAAATGAATAACAAATGTGTTGATGGAGAGTGGAGGAAAAGTATGACCCTCCTTGCATATATTTTCCTTAAGTTGTGAAGATTTGGGATTAGGTAGGAAATAACTGCTGGCAACTGTTCCTTGATTTATAATATTTTTCTCATTTCTCTCTCTTTTTGCTGCCATTTCTCTATTTATATTGACATATGGGCTTATTTCTGAAAATGAGTGGTAGTGAAAGCAATGCACTTGAAATATAGTAGTACTGATTTTTAAAAAAAGAAAGAAAGAACAGATATACTGTAGCATAGGGTGACAAACTACAGTACATGGGCAAAATAACCTGTTTTTGTGCAGTTGGTAAACTCAGAATGGTCTTTACATTTTTAAAGATTTGTTAAAAACATATAAACAAACAAAATGTAGCAAAAATCAACAAAAAGTTAAACTAATAATAATATGTAGAGAGTCTATAGGTAGCCCACAAAGCTTAAAATTTTTATAGCTGACATTTTACAGAAAAGATTTACTGACCCTTTCCACATACCATTCATTGTCTATCATTAAAAAAATGCCTGTTATGTTTACATAACTTATAAAGCCACCTTTAAAAGAGTAAAGATGTAAAAAATATCTTTTCAACCCTAAAACTTAACATTTGTTTATTACATTAAATTGAATTAAGGGATTATTCATTCAACTATGCAAAGATGGATCTCATATTACCTAGCCATAAAGACAAGCATTGTCAGTTAGTAAAGTTATCAACAGTTGCCCTCCCATATCCATGGGTTCCATATCCATGAATTCAACCAACCATA